GGCTGACCACAGTTCAAGTCCCAGACTCAGCGGCTTGAAACTCATGCCAGGTATATGTGCATGTGTGCCCAATATCCTAGGCAGAGAATGAAGAAGGGATTGTGGTGTGGCCATCCCCCCCTGGGTGGGGTGGATTTCTCACTTTATCTGTCTGTCTTTTCTGTCTCTCCAGCAGGTACATGCACCCTATAGCAAAAATCTCTCTAAAAAAGAAAAAGAAATATAAATTTTTGGATCCTATCCTGTATCTACTGAGTCAGAAATATGAAGATAAGGTCCACCAATCCAACCCGAGAGGATTCAGGTAAGCATTAAAGTTTGAGGACTACTGCTTTAGAATGAAAAGATTAGGAGTTAATGTGTACATAAGAAAAAGGAATTGGGAACCAGCAGTTAGCTTAATGGCTATGTCACTGGACTCCCACGTAGTCGACTGCAGTTCACGTCCTGCACCCGGTGGCTTAAAACTCACGCGGGGCGCGTGTGCATGCATGCCCAAGATCCCGAGAGGAGAATGGAGGACAAGGGATTGCGGTGTGACCATCCCCCCTGGGGGGTGATTTCTCGCTTTCTGTCTCTATGTCTCTCTCTGTCTGTCTGGCAAGCACACACGCCCTATAGCGAAAATCTCTCCAAAAAAAAAAAAAAGGAATAGAGCGAATTTGATGTTTTTGTGATAGCATGTGACAAAATTATTGCACAAACAGGATTAAAAAAAATAAAAGTGAGGCCAACCGGTGGCATGATGGTTAAGGCAGCTGGATCCCAGACAGCTGACCATTGTAGTTTGAGTCCCAGAACACTTTGGGCACATTTCTGCCTAGAATTCAAAAAGAGAGAGACATGGAGGAGAAGGGATTGTGGTGACTATGCTCCATGGGAGGGGTTGCTTTCTTGCTCTCTCTCTCTCTCTCTCTCTCTGTCTTTCTCTGTTTAATGCCTGTGACCTCTGGCAAATGAAAAATTAATTACTTAATAAGTAAGTAAATAAAAATGTATAGTCTTTTAAAAATGAGAAAGGCTGGGACCAGCAGGTGGCATAGTAGTTTAGTACTCCCACATGGCTGATCAAGGTTAGAATTCCAGATCCAGCAGCTTGAAAATCACACAGGGCACATATGCGTGTGTGCTCAAAACCCCTGGAATAAAATGGAGAAGAGATTGCAAGGTGGCCGTACCCTACTGGGGGAGGGGGATATTTATCACCTTCCCTCTCTCTGTCTCTGTCTCTCTCAGGTGAGTGCACATGCCCTATAGCAAAAATATTTTTATTTTTATTTTTTGTTTTTTAAGACAGATGTCTGCTATAGGATGCATGCACTTTTCTGAGAAACAGAGAGACAGAAAGCAAGAAATTACCTCCTAGCCATGCCACAGTTCCTTCGCCTCCATTCTCCTTTAGGGATTTTGAGCAGGCACACACAAATGCCCAGCATAAATTTTAAGCTGCCAGGTCCGGAACTTGAAATGTGGTCGACTACATGGGAGTCCAGCAATGTAACCATTATACCATCTGCTGATCCTGGCTAAATAAATAAATAAATAAATAAAAGAGAAAGACTCTAAAGGAAAAATTGGTAAGTTGGGCTGAATTACCAAAAAGTAACAAGAAGGATGTTCTTTATTTTATAGAGACAAGATGAGAGAAAGATAAATAAAGAGATGCAATCTAAAATGAATATAAAGGTTAATAGGAAAGCACTCTTTGATTATACACACTAAAGGGAAATCTCATAGCACTCTCAACAGGAAAGGAAAAGTGATTACAATTGACCCTGTAAAGGTAATTGTTTTAAATTTATTTATTTCCTTCATGTGCAGGAGGCACTCTCCACAGGGTGTCCACATTGGATTCCAACCACCTCCACCCTGCGGCCAGCCAGGATCACAGGTGAACCCATGAGCATGCCCAGCATACTCAGGTAGACCCAGGACCAGAACTTAGAGCGTTCTCCTATGACTTCCAGCATTGTGCAACAGTGTTCTTATTGCCTGTGCCACCACAGCCGAACATGTGTTTTGTTTTGTTTTGTTTTATTTTTAATGGGTTCTGGACTACGGTTGTATTGTCCCCAAATTTTATAAAATAATTTAGTTAGAGGGCCAGTCCACGACCTGGTGTAAGGCAGCTGGATCCCACAGGAACAATGGTATATAGTTTGAGTCCTGGACACAGAGACTTGAAAAACAAGCCAGGCATGAGTGAGTGTGTACCCAAAATCCTGAAAGGAGGGAGAAATGGAGAAGGGATTGTAGCACAACCTTGCCCCATAAGGGATGTTTCTCACTTTCCCTCTCTTATTGTCTCTCTCCAGTGACCTCATGTGACCTCTGGCAAATTAAAATAATAATGGTAATAATTTTGTTAAGTACCAGTTGGTCTTGAAAGCTAAAAACATTGGGTTGGGGATGGAAATGACTACTGTGTATTTTTAATTACTGAATATATTTAGCTTAGGACCTGGTGGTATATACCTCTCAGTCATAGAGAAAAACCTCCTGCTTTCAGAGAAAGAACATAGAGTCAGAAGATCTGGATTGTAGTTCCTATCATGCCACTTAAAAATCTTAGGTAAGCACCCAGCAAGTGTCATGGCGATTAAGGCCCTGGACTCCCACATGGCCAACCACAGTTTGAATCCTGCCCTGGCAACTTGAAAATCACACTGAGCTCTTCTGTGTGAATCCTGAAAGGAGAATAGAAAAGGGATTGTGACATAGCCATCTCCCCTGGGGGATGATTTCTCACTTTCCCTCTTACTGTCTCTCTCTCTCTTTCTGGCAAGTGCACACACCCTATGACGAAAACCTTAAAAAAAAAAAAAAAAAAAAAAAAACTTGGGCAAAACTTTTGCTTTCACTTTCTCTGTTTTCTTATCTTGTTCACCTTTGGGTAAAGTTCTCAACCCTTGTTCACCTTTTATTCCAGTCAATTGAGATTGAAATAATGCATATGAAAGTGGTGTTCAAAGTTAAATTATCCTCAGGACCAGCAGTTAGCGTAATGGCTATGTCGCTGGACTCCCATGTAGTCGACCACGGTTCACGTCCCGGACCCGGTGGCTTAAAACTCACACCGGGCGTGTGTGCGTGCATGCCCAAGATCCCAAGAGGAGAATGGAGGAGAAGGAATTGCAGCATGGCCATCCCCCCTGGGAGGTGATTTCTCGATTTCTGTCTCTCTGTTTCTCTCTGTCTTTCTGGCGAGCACACACGCCCTATAGCAAAAACCTCTCCAAAAAAAGAAAAAAAAAAGTTAAATTATCCTCTCTATGCATGTGGTCATTTCTCATTCTGTTTTATATCCTGGCTGATAAACAAAACTTTCTTAAAGTAGTGAAAGGGTAAATCTAATATCTAGTGCCAGAAAAGAATAGAAAGGACAACCTTAATTTAACTTTATATATATGTATATATACGTATATATACATATATATACGTATATATACATATATATATACACACACAACATATATACATATACACACATATGTGTATATATGTGTGTGTGTAATATGTGTGTATATGTGTGTGTGTGTATATATATATATACATATATATACACTAAAACAAATCAATAAAATGAGAGAGTCTTCAAGAAGTTCATAGAAAATGTGTATTATGAAAAAACTATGCATGAATTTCAAAAAATTTTACACCAAAATAAACTATTTTTACTCCGTTTTTCCACTAACTTTTGAAGTATCTTCATATGCTTCCTATTTCATTAATGGCTGCTCATATTTCTTGTCCTTTTCTTATTGTACATAATTAATTCTTCAGCCCCTATCTCAGATAGCAACTAATATGGCTTTTTGACAAAAAATAGCACCAAAGAACTTTATTTCATGACATAAGTATATCCACTTAAGGAGAAAATAAGTTTACTTCAGCTACAGTTCAAATGCACACAAATATTTAATATGATTAGTGAAAACTAATCAAGCTTTACACTATCTTTCACTTTTCCCTTCTTAGTTTATGACTCATAACTGTTTATTAGTTCAAGCAAAGCTTTTGACGATAGCCTAAACTGGAGAGTTAGGGTATTTAGAGTGATACATTGGAAATTAAATAGAAACTGTTTTTTAAAGCTAAGATAAAATTGTAAAGTATTATACACACACACCCTAAAAGATTAAGTGTAATGTCATAGAATTCTTTACAGTGAGTCAAAACTCCTAGCTCTTAGAACTAGGTAAGTGACTAGACTCATTTAATAGTTGTGCATCTGGTTCTGTTGCTCTCCTGAGAATTTGTCCAACCTCAAACAGCTAGTGGGCATTTCCCAGAGGCCTTGTGAAATATTCTTAACTTTAGTTACTTTCCTTTGGGGAGAAGAGAAAAGAAGAATGCGGATTGAAGGAATCTGGCACTTTGGCAATTCAGCTAGGTCAAAGTTTCCCAGTATAAATTCTGTAGGATGTTAATTCATCTAGGGAAAAGGTGTGTTTCTGTGATCCTGCTGTCAAATGAATTGAGGAAGGAGAATCCTCCCTTGGGATTGGTGGCCGGTGCAGTGTTCTGCTTAACCCTTTAATCCTTACACTACCCTTTAGGGTAGACACTAATTTTATCTCAATTTTATAGATGGAAAGAAAACACAGTAGGCCTAATAGAGTCAGGATGGAAGTCAGGTAAAGAAAGAGCTCTTGCCTAATGAATACTTTCTTGGAAGGGCATTTTTTTCTTGGTGTCAATTTTTCTGGTTGAAATAGGAGACAAGACTACTTCCTGAGAATAGGGCAGGCAGGTGACAAAGGCAGGGTGTCTGAGGAACAGAGCACTTATGACTGGAATAGCTGCAAAGAGGAAAGAGACAGCACTAATGAAAGACACATGGGAGAGCCTAGATAAAATTGAAGATCATACTTGAGTAGAGACTTCAATTCCTATGGTGCCTGATACCCTACTCCCACCATGTGCATCTGCCATGCCAGGGTCTAGATAAAAGAGCAAGGAGAAGATAGCTCAAGACTTGGAGGTTTTGTCAGAAGAAGTGTATACATCCTTAGAAGCGACCATCAGTATATACAAGGTGGTTAATCCCTAATATCGTACTATAGATATAAGCAGAGGGCTGATGTACAGCAGACAGTGAGGGATTCATTATGGTTGCAGGAATTGGAGAAATATGAATAAATGAAGGAATTTAAAATTCAAGCAGTTTTGAAGCCTAAACTACTGAGAAATAAGCAGTACAAAAGGAAGAACATTTGGGGTGGAGGGGACTGTAAATTCCTTTTTCAGACATGTTAATTTTTGAGATTCCTGTAATTATGCAGGCATAGAAAAGTTCAGATTTAGAAGCTATTACCTCAAGTAATAGTTTAAACTTCACACAAGTTGCTGACACCCAGATAGAGTAAAAGATATCAGAAAGCTCTCATGGATTATCTCTGATTAGGGCAGAAAGATAATATGGTCATCTGGTGTACAATCAGAGCAATACGGTAGCATCTGTACCACTAGGCACCAGATCAAAGTTCCCTGGCAATGAAATCAAAATAGAAGGGAAAGACAAGCCTGAGATTCTTTTAGAGTATGGAGAAAGTAAAGTTACTGATGCAGGTAGCCCTTTGGGATGATTAGATTACTTAAAGAACCTAATAGTAATTTAAGATTAAGCAAGGGAGGTGGCATCTGAAGAAAGAACCTGCAAAAACAAAGTTACCTATGATTTTTCTTTCCACAACTTTGTCTGGATGCAGCCTTGCAGGAAATTACGGAAAAATAATCTGGGTTACTTACTTTTCCCTAACCTCTCTGCTGTCTTCATTGCTCCTTATTGTACAATGTTCTCCCATTCCCATGGACATTGCCCCACATATTCCTCTTTACTAAAAAATAAATTAATTAAATAAAATAAAAATAAATCTCTTAAATATAAAAAAAGAAGTAATGAATTTATAAAAGAAAATTATTTTTACTGGTTTTTAGTAAATTCTCAACCTTGTGTATGTTTGTATTTGACTACATCCTGGGTTTACATCTTAAATTCAAATGAGAGGGGCCAGCAGGTGATATGGTGGTTAAGATGGACAGACTCCCATATGGCCAAACACAGTTCAAGTCCTGAATCTGGTGGCTTGTTCGCTCTCTCTCTCTCTCTTTTTCTCTCTGTCTATCTCTATCTCTTTGGTAAGTGCAACTGCCCTATAGCAAATTAAGCAATCATAATGATGATAAATAAAATTAAATAAAATAATTTTTAGAAAATTGAAATGAGAGGTAGACCAGCAGTAGTGTAGTGTTTAAGGCACTGGATTCCCAGATGGCCAATGACAAGTCCTAGAACAAGATGCTTGAAAATCACACTAGGCATGTGTATGTGTATGCCCAAAATCCAGAGAGGAGAATGGAGGATAAGGGATTGCTGTGTGGCCATTTCTCCCTTGTGGGTGATTTCTTACCTTTCCCTCTACCCCAGGGAGCACAAGTGCCCTCTGACACACACACACAACACACACACACACACACACACACACACACACACACACACTTTAAAAATAAAAGCAAAACTTCATTGGGCAAGCCAGTGGCATAATGGCTAAGGTGGCTGGATCCCACTTGACTGACTGACTGATTTGAGTTCTGGACCTGGTGGCTTAGAAAACTTATCAGGTGTGGGAACATGTGTGCCCACAATCTGAAAGAAGAAATGTAAGAGAAGGGATCGTGGTATGATCATCCCCCATGGGGGTGCTTTCTCACTTTCTCTCTCTCTGGAAAGCATGTGTGCCCTATACCAAATTAGAAAAAGCAGCCAAAAATAAATAAATAAATAAATAAAATAAAAAGTAAAATCTCCTCACCTTATGGCATAATTTAAGACAACAAAAAAAGGGACCAGCAGTTAGCGTAATGGCTATGTCGCTGGACTCCCCCGTG